AGCTGATCTCGGTGCTATGCCCAGAGACGTCTTTCTTTGTCAGAGTTCGGGTGGGGGTTGTCACTAGCACCTGGCGGGAGAGGCCGGGGGGGGGGGGGGGGGAGGGATGCACTGGGAAGGACCCACCATCAAGAATTCTCTGGCCCCAAATGTCAACTGTGCTAAAGCTGAGACAGTCTTATTTAAACCAAGGTCACTGGAGGCAGCTGGGCCCGACTAGGACTTATGGGCAAAGGCAAAAAGAAGTCACCGTCCAGTCTTTTCAGATGTCGTGAGAAGCCCCGTCTACCTCCATGGGTGGGGTCCCCATATATTTTTTAATGATGGTTATTGGCATAGCATTTACCAGGTGAATATGTTCAATGCATTGACCTCATGCAATATTTAAGTTTAAGGCTCTTCATGGGTGTGTGATCCAACCAGATAGCCACCCGGGTCCCCGGATGAGCCCCCTGTGACACTCGGGTGGGACACCGGTGAGAAGAACGTGCCTCACTTTCAGGCTTCCTCACCCACTGGCTGTGTGACCTGGGACAAGTGGCCTGGTATCTCCAGGCTTTGATTTCTTTGTTGTAAATAGAAACAGGCATAGCCGGTGTTTAGTTAGTGCTGATTGTGTGCCCGGCATTTTCCATGCATGACCTTATTTAGTTCCCAAGAGAGGTGGAGTGAAAAGTGGGTTTTGATGAATGAGTAGGAGTTGGTTTTCAGCAGAGGGAAGGCAAAAGGCATCCAGAGAAGAGCAGGAGGCAGACACTGTGTTTCTTGGGAAGAAGGAAAAGCAGTCAGGGTCTGGAATGGTGGGAGGTGAAGGTCAGACATCCCTGAATCATGGGACCAAGATGTGACAGCTTCCAAAGAATGTGAGTAAAGACCTCGCCACCTGTGCCCCAGCCAGCAGGGACAGTGTCCCCTTCCCCAAACAGAAGTCATACATATCTTTATTTCCCAGTCTTCAGAGACATGGAGGCTTTGAGCTCCATTGTCCCAACACCGTGGCCACAGCCACCTGTGGCTCTTCACATCTAAATGAGCAGAAGGAGAGTTAAAAATTCAGTTCTTCAGTGACAATGACCACATTTGCGAGTGGTCAGTGTCCACGATCCCAGACAGTGCAGACGTGAGACATTTCCGTCGTCACAGACAGTTCTGCTGGACAGTGATGGCCAAGAGGCATCGTTGCTGTTCCATGCAGAACTAGAAGTTTCTAGAACTTTTTTTGTTTCTGTCTGATCAGCCCGGGAGCAAATTGGTAGTGAGCGTGACAGCAGGTGCCACAGGGCTCAGTTGTGTAAGCACAGTGTACCGTATAGCATTGTTTGCAAATGAGATGTGTTAAGTGTCACAGACACAGCTGACTCCACTGCCACCCTCCTGAGTGGAAGCGTGCCATTGCACACACATGCCTTGCAGCAGGCCGTAAAACACACCGGGCTGCTCCTGCAAACCCTTCAAGCAGTAGGTCCCTGGTGAGCAGCTTGGTGGCAAGGTGCCAGCTCTTTCCCTGCCACCTGCTTACCCCTGGTGACCGCAGGTCCAGAACCAAACTACATCCACTTCTGGTTTTGCTCCTGAGTAGATGGAAGCAAGACTGCTCAACCTGGATGCTCCCTGTGGTTCCATATTTAAAATATTCTCCCCTGCACGCTAAAATAAGTTTGTGTTGGCAAAAATACTTCAATGCATTATTTAAACAAAGGTGTTTGTGACTTAAAAAAAAAAAAGACACTGAAAGAAACCTGCAAATTCTTTCTGCAAATTCACATAAAAAGAGGCACTGAATCAGTTTCAGAATCACCTGGGAAATTTACCTTGTAGTTCTTGTAAACAGGCCTCATGAAAATGTTGTATTTTTTGCTCTGTAGCCACTAGTTTTTCCTGTCTGTATTTTTTTTTTTAACAAAGCAAGGATCTGGGGTAATTATTAGTCAGACCTAGTTTAAAATCCAGCTCAAACAGGGTGTGGTGGTGCGCATCTATAATCCCAGCTACTCAGGAGGTTGAGATAGGAGGATTGAGGTCTGAGGCTGGCCTGAGCAAAATTGTGAGACAATAGCTGAAAAATAAACTAAAACAAAAAAAGACTGGGGGCTTGGCTCAAGCGGTAGAGCGCCTGAGTTCTTAAGCTTGAGGCCTGAGTTCAATTCCCAGTACCTCCAAAAATACTATCGGCTCAGCTCTGCACCTATTGTGGAGCCCTTGGAAGCTTACATCACCTCCCTGGGCTCAGTTTTGTCACCTGTAAAGCAGGACTTTTAATGTCTCTTGAGATTAGGTGAAATGAGTTCTGTGCAAGAACCTGATACTCGGTACGCACGTCCCCCATCCACTGACCTCCCCCTTCTCTGCTGAGTCCCCATGTGTGGTCACGTGGCAGCATCAGCTCAGGAGCTTCAGGACTGAGATGGCGCTGAGTGACATTTGGCGAGAGTCTCTCTCTGTGCAGACAATCCCTGTGTTAATCACCGCGTAGGTAAACCATTGACTTGGGAAATGTCTGTAAGCAAGAGCCACTCCGGGTATGTTTTGGTGACATTTGAGAGAGGGTAAAACAGGATGTTCCCTCTTGTGAACGCAGACCTCTCCAAGCAAAGAGTAGAAGTGGCTGTGACACAGGATGCAGGGGCGATGTGGAACCTGGCAGGGAGGGGGCCGGATGGTCCCAGGCTTCTGATCCATCCTGAGTGATGGATCACTGTGCAGCAGACAGGGCTCAGAGTCTCCAAAGCTGGGAATGTAAAACCGAGGGCCAGACGAAAGACAGCCTCGGACCAACACCTAAATGGGCCACACAGCAAGTGGCATTGCCCAAGTGGCCAGATGTCACAGAAAGTAAAATGACATGGGAAGGTCCAGACAGGGTCAGGAAGCAGGGAGGCAGCGCTCACGGGGTGGAAGGACAGAGGCGAGGCAGCAGTGGTGCGCCATCCAGTCCTAGCTTCATCCCACAGAATGGCCAGCTGTGGAAGCCGGTTGACTAGCCTTCACCTGGGCCTGTTAGAGGTCAACGGCAGGGAACCAAGGTAGCTTAATGGGTAAGGAGCCAGGTGTGGTGGTACACCCCTGTAATCCTAGCAGGAGGAGCATGTGATCAAGGCTGGCATGCGCTACCGATCAAGACCCTGTTGCAAAAAGATGAGAAAAGAAAGAAAAAGAGAGAGAGAAACAGAGGAGAGGGAGGGAGGGAGGAGAGAAGCAAGGAAGGAAGGAAGGGAGAAAGAAAGTCATCTTCAGATAGGACTCTATTAAGTGTTTTGTATAATACATTAATTAATTTTAAAGTCAGACTCTAGAATTGCAAACAAGCCTGGGTTTGAATCCACCGTCACTAGCTTTGTGACTTAAGCTGTCAATGGAACCTCCATGCCTCAGTTTCCTCACATGATGAGGGTGGTGGTGGTGATGGAGATGCCAATGATGGTCGTGGTGGGGAGGAGGAAGGCAGCAGTGGTGGTGACAATGAAGACATATGAGCAAGTGAACAATGATGAGGGGATTGTGGGAATAGTGACAACTTCACTGACGGGAGGAAAAGCTGGACGATGGTGATGATAATGGTGATTAATGTGGTGCTGGTGCTGATGGTGGTGGTGATGGTGGTGAAGGTGATGGTGGTGGTGATGATTGTGGTGGTGGAAGTGAAGGTGTTGGTGATGGTGAAGATGATGGTGTTGGTTGTGGTGAAAGTGATGGTGGTAATCGTGATGATGGTGTTGGTGATGGTGATGGTGGTGAAGGTGGTGGTGATGGTGATGCTGGTGGTGGTAGTGATGGTGGTGATGGTAGTAATGGTGTTGTGGTGATGGTGAAAGTGATGGTGGTAATGGTGGTGGTGGTGAAAGTGATGGTGGTGATGGTGGTGGTGGTGACAGTGATGATGGTGTTGGTGGTGGTGGTGAAAGTGATGGTGATGGTGATAATGGTGGTTGTGGTGAAAGTGATGGTGGTGATGATGATGGTGGTGGTGGTGACAGTGATGATGGTGGTGGTGGTGATGGCAGTGAAAGTTATGGTGATGATGGTGATGGCAATAATGGTGATGGTGGTGAAGGTGATGGTGATAATGGTGGTTGTGGTGAAAGTGATGTTGGTGATGATGGTGGTGGTGGTGGTGGTGAAAGTGATGGTGATGGTGATAATGGTGGTTGTGGTGAAAGTGACGGTGGTGATGATGGTGGTGGTGGTGACAGTGATGATGGTGTTGGTTGTAGTGATGGTGGTGAAAGTGATGGTGATGATGGTGAGGTGGTGGTGGTGATGGTTTTTATGGTGGTGATGACAGCAATGACAGTGGCTGTGCAATGATGATGATGATGACAGTGATACAGAATGACAACACTGCAAGCCACTACTTCAGAACAACTGTGAAGAATGGCTGGAATATTGGGCTGTACCACTAATTGTGTGACTCTGAGCCGTTAGCGTCTCATACCATCTGTAAGGATGTGACAAGTGGCTGCTGCCCATAGGTTTGAGTTAAAACTCACGTCAAGGGCCAGTGCCTAGTGAGTGCTCAGTGCCCGCCAGCTGCCCTGGGAAGAGCGCTATTTCCTGGCTGTGCTCCCTTTGCTTTCAGAATCATTCTGTTTGTCCTGAGCTGGTGCTGCTCAAAGCAAGCCCAAAGGCTCAGTCAGGGCCACAGGACTTCTCTGTTCTTCCCACCTCTTGCCTTTCCCACATTAAGTGCCCGGGACCCTCAATTGTTCAGGAGGTCACAGTTCCTGGAGTCCACCAGGACGCAGCCTCTCAGTCTCCAGAGAGAGATAACATTTGCGCCACGGTCATGGGTGGGGACCAGCATGGGGCAGGCCTCATGAACGTACCATGCTTCACCATGGGGCCACCTTCCTCATGTTGCTGGGCTTCCTTCTGAAAGTGCCCAGGGCTTTGCTGGCTGCACACAAACAAGTGATGCCAAGGTTCCGAACAGACTTAGGACTTCGGGATGGAGGCCGCAAACCTGATGTCACCCTTCCTTACTGGGCCACCTTGCCTTTCAGAGATCTGGACAGCAAGTCGCACAAAGCTTTGTCCCTTGGTGGGGAGAATGACCGAGTCTTCAACGACCTGTGGGGGAAGGGCAATGAGCCTGTCGTCCTCAACAACCCGTATTCAGAGAGGGAGCAGGTAAGTGGACGTCCACACCTCCCCGAGCCCATCCAAGCCAGGGTGCGAGCCCAGGGAGCCAGGCTGAGCCAGACATCAGCCGCCATGGGCTTGGAGCTCAGAGACCGGCCAGGAGAGCTGACCCTGGGGTAAGAACTTTGGCTTTATTTCTGGGTTTGTTTTGTTTGGATTTGCTTGTGAGACTTGTAATTTTTCAAATTTAAATTCTGTTTGAACCAGGAAAGGCATTCACAAGGTTCCAAATTTAAAAGAGATCAAAGAAGCCTGGTGAAGGTTTTATTCTTTTCCCTAATCCCAGCCAGTTTCCCTCCCCAAAGGCCAGAAATGTCGCTTTTTGCATGTGTTCTTTTAGCAATGTCTTCTGCATAGACAACAAATGTACACACACATATTTCCTATTTTTATACAAGAGAGAGCACATTACACATATTGTTTTGTACCTTTCCTTTTCACATATCTAAGACATAAGGCCCAATTATCAGGGAAAGAGAATCATGGTTCTTTTTCACTGCTGCATAATATTCCATTGTGTAGTTATGCCATCATGTCTTGAGTGAGTCCTTCACAACCAACCCTTGAGCAGTTGCCACTATTTTGCTGTGACAATGCTATCATGCATGACATTGGCCGGGCTTACCCATAGAATAAATTCCTAGATGGGAATGTTCAGTCAAAGGTCATGTTTTAAGACTTGAGCACACACTGTCACATTGCTCCCCACAGAGACTATACCAATCCTGCCAGCTAAGCAGGAGACTGACTGTTTCCCCCACAGCCTCGCCAACTCCATCTGTTACCAGACGGTTTAGTCTTTGCCAATAGGCTGAGATGAGTGTTGACAGCTGAGTCGGTATCCTTTCCAAGAGTGGCTGGCTTTGGCTGGTGGTCAACAGTGCCTTTTTTCCCATGCCCAGGCAGCTGATGCCAGGCTAGAGAAAGCCTAGGAAAGTGTGGGCATTTCCCACCCACGCTCTGCCTTGCAGCAAAGCAGTGGTGGAGTAATCAATGGGAGTCCTAGAATGGCGAATTGACCAATGGGAGTCCTGGAAGGAATGGATTGACCAGTGGGAGTCCTGGAAGTGTGGATTGACCAGTGGGAGTCCTGGAAGAGAGGATTGACCAATGAGAGTCCTGGAAGAGTGGATTGACCAGTGGGAGTCCTGGAAAGGATGGATTGACCAGTGGGAGTCCTGGAAGGGTGAATTGACCAATGGGAGTCCTGGAAAGGGTGGATTGACCAATGGAATCTCAGCAGGGGTGAAGTGACCAATGGGAGTTCAGGAAGAGGGATGGCCTGCTTCCTGTTCCCTTATGCCTGGACCTTTCAGCTCATCTAAATGACTCCACACAGCTCTGGGGGGAACTGGTGGACAGGACACGCCAGATCTGTGGTGAGAGTTGCTTTCCTTAGAGGCTGATGTGTGGCCAGGAAGAAAAGAACAGCGGGAATTCCATGGCAGATCAGGCCCATGGTCCCACTGCCTGACAGCGTGGATGCTGACACCTGGGAATGTGTGATGGAAGGTCAAAATTGTAAACTCTTATTATATTGTCCCCAGAAGCCACGGCCACATTGGGGGTGGGGTGGAACTCAGTAGTGGATAGCGTGCATGAGGCCCCCACAAAACAAAACCCAAGATCATACTAAGAGCAATTAAGAGACTCTTGCAGGGTGTAGTGGCTCACGCCTGTAATCCTAGCTACTCAGGAGACAGAGATCAGGAGAATCAAGGTTCGAAACCAACCCCGGGCGCAAATAGTTCACCAGACTCTATTTAAAAAAACCCAACACAAAAAAGGGCTGGTGGAGTGGCTCAAGTGCTAGAGCTCCTGCCTAGCAAGCGTGAGGCCTGAGAGACAGACACAGACACAGAGGCCAGCAATACTTGGGTTTAAGTCCCCACCATCCTTCATCACCAGATCTTCAGTGTGTAGTCCGTGACTCAAAAAGATTTGAAACCACCGATCTACGCGAGCATCCTGGCTCTGATGTCTGAAAACCACTTCCCAAACGCCTCTCAGAAATAAAACTGACAGGCGACGAGGCCCATGTGCCCGGGTGTCTTTTGAGGAATCAGCCCTGTTATCCCGCCAGCCGGCATCACAGCCACCACGGGCTTCATACTGCTCCCCACGTCCAGCAAATCAATAGAAAACCATTTGTATTCTGTCCTGAAAGACTGGCCCTATGCTCGGCCTCTCTCCTACCTGCTCAAAGCTGCTCAGAGCCCAGCCTGAGGCTCTGGGATTCAGCTGGAGCCTGTGTTTCCTGCCCTTTTCAGCATCCCAGGGCTGGAGGCGTGCCTGCCTAGCATGCATGAAGTCCTGAGTTCAAATCCTAGTACCACCCAAAAAACAAAAGAGTCTCAAGAAGCCAGGATGTTTGTTTATATCTGTGGGTGTGGCTGATGGTCTTGGATGGTTTGAGTGGGGCCTGGGAGACTCGAGTCCTCGGACACAGGGTACGAGTCTTTAACATCTCCTTGTAGATCACACCTGTCCTGGGATGGTGATAGAACGAACCATTTTCCCTCACCAAACCTTCCCTCAGACCCTGCCATGTGTGTAGCGCTGAGCGGTGGGGAGGAGGCAAAGATGAGCAAACATCATCCTGCCTGCCTGAGACCTTCACGGTCAAGTACAGGGTGACGCATATACACTATGGGCTAAAAGACAGTGTCCTCATCTGCTGTGGGAACATAAATCCCTGAGCAAGTATCGGGGAGGTCTACCCCAAGAGGTGATGTTGGACCTGGGTTTTGAAGATCAAGTACGAGTTTGCTTAGAACAAGCTAGAGAAAGGCGTTATAGTAGAAGGAATGACTGCGGCATATATGCTGCCGGGTTTTTGTTTTGTTCTGTTTTTTGTTTTTTTTCTTGCTAAGGAACATAATTAGAACTCTGAGATGGTCTTTGGTGCTAATTCTACCTGAGACTACATTCCAAAGGCTCTTCCCACAGTAGTTTTATGTCAAATGCCACCTCCCATAGATAAGTAACACAAGAAATGGCTGTTTGTCTGTTCTCCCTGCAAACCCTTGGGATTTGAACAGAGCCCTTCTCAGCTTCCCTTCTTATAAGCATCTGTTTCTTTCGCCTGCCTCATATGTTTTCCCAAGAGAAAACAGGTAGAACAGTGCCCTGCTTGAGGACACGCAGCTACTTTCAGGTTCCGATTAAGAATTAATCTATCCCTAATGTGTGTGAGTGGGAAGGGCAAGGTGTGATTTCCACATATCTTGTCCATCCCTCCGCTGCCCTGCCCCTTCTCCAGCCTCTTTCTCATAAAGTCATCAGCTCCTCACGCCGGTGGCTTTTCTGTTGGAAGGCCTCTCCCCATCCCACCACCCACCCCATCAGGAGCTGGCATTTCCTCACTCCGGGGACCCAGGGCTTCCCGGCTGCTTTGGAAATGTCAGACTCTGTGCAGAAGCTTTCTGTATTTCCAGGTGAGTGTCAGCCACTGGAAGGTTCCAACTCACTATGCAAGGTGGCGGGGGGAGGGGGGGGGAGATGGGGACAGGCTCCCAGGCCCTTTCTCCCCCAAACTGCAGAAGATCAAAGGTCACCAGGGTCCCCCCTCTCCATGGACCCCAAAGGAGCAGACCTGGGTGTGCACCGGGGCAAACAGGCACAGTACGCACCTCCCAGCGACAAGCAGCCCTGACTCATGCATACTAATGACGTCAGGATAAAAATAACAGTAACGGTGGTAACAACACTGGCAGGGAGATTGCAGGCATTAGGACAACCTGGGTGTCACTTGCTCATAGCATTGAGGCCAAGGGCTCTGGGGTGGGGCCAGGATTGGTCCACCACTGCTGGTGACCTTGACCAGACAACTAATTGACAGGAAACTGAGAGTCCTCTTCCTAATGGGTGCTAGTAAGCTCGAGGAGTTTGGGGATCAAGACATGAGGTAACTTGTGAAATAATGCCGTCCATTATTATTAGCAGCTACCATTTATGTTGGTCTCTCTGAAACTCCAGCCCAAGTCAGTGAAGTACAGCCGGCCCTCTGTATCCACAGATTCAACTGACCACAGATGGAAAGTACTCAAAAAAAAAAGAATGGAAAGAGGGCCTCTACTGTAGCCTGTAATCCCAGATTCTCCGTAGGTGGAGGTAGGTAGGTCTGGACAAAAGTGTGAGACCCTATCTGAAAATAAACTGAAGAGGGCAGGCGGAGTGGCTCAAATGGTAGAGCGCCTGCCTCACAAGGGCAAGGTCCTGAGTTCAAATCCCAGTAATGCAAAAAACTGCATCTATACTGAACACGTGCAGACCACTGCTTCTTGTCGTTGTAGTATAACAGCTGTTTGCATAGCATTTACGCTGCATTGGGTGTTCTAAGCCATTTAGAGATGAATGTAGATTCGATGCAAATAATATGACATTTTATATAGGGGACTTGAGTGTCCTCTGACTTCCATAACTACAGGAGGTCCTACAACCAATCCTCCTTGGATACTGAAGGATGACTGTACTACGACTGTCCCCATTTTACAGATGAGGAAACTGAGGCACGGAAGGTTGAGTGGCTTGGTGAGGGTCTCATACTCGCTAAGTGCTGGAAGCAGAATTTGAACCCGAGCCCTGGAGCCCCAGAGCCCCGGCACAGGACAAATGCTCCAAATTGATTCATTATTAATGTTCTTATATCCTTAATTATGACATTGCTGCTGGGAGGCAGAGAATAAGCGTCCTACCCCCACTTAACACGCAAGATCCAGAAGCAGAAAGTGACAAGGCTGCATCTCTCCCTTCATGGTCATTGTCCTTGTCCACCATCCCGGGGACCAGGCTCCCAGGCCACACAGAGAGAAGAGCAATAAGTCCTCCCGTGGAGGTCAGAGGCTCCAAGAGCCTGGAGTCCAAGCTCGGCTCTGTTGCTTGTGACTGTGCTCAGACACCCTCTTTTGTCACCTGAAAAATGGATTTCCATTAGAATTAAATGACTGGGTGGGCATGCAAAGGCCTAGTCCAGAGCAGGAACCAAC